TAAGAGAAGTACCTAATGTAGATGACAGGTTGATGGGTGCAGCAAACCACCATGGCACGTGTATACCTGTGTAACACATCTGCACATTCTGCACATGCATCTCACAAAAGTATTTCAGTGCAGTCTGAATGAGCATGTCTCTTATTAGATAAAAAGGAGAACATGTATGTTGAGGGCCATTTGAGTCTGTTCTGTATATAAACTGATGTTTTTACCCTTTTCTCTGGAGCATATTTGGGGTTTGTCTGGAGTTGAACTTTTTAGTTATCTGAAAACTAGGTGTTAGTATTTCTGACAGAAGTTGCAGATTCTCTCCCAGCTCATTATTTGTTTTACTCTGCTTATGGAGATTTGTTTTGTTTTTTACCATGTGATTTTTTTTTAGTGTCTTGTTCTGTCACTCAGGCTGGAGGGCAGTGGCATGATCTTGGCTCACTGCAGCCCCCATTCCTTGGGCTCAGGTGGTCCTCCCATCTCAGCCGCCCAACTTGCCAGGACTGCAGGCACACAGCTCCACGCCTGGTGAATTCTTAAATTTGTTTCTGTAGACATGAGGTCTGCCTGAGTTTCCCAGGCTGGTCTTGAGCTTCTGGCCTCAAGTGATCCTGCACATCAACCTCCCAAAGTGCTGGGATTACAGGTGTGAGCCACTGCCTCGGCCTGTTGTTGTTATCATGTGATTTTAAAATGGTGAAATTGATCTAACCATCGTTCTGAATTTGGCTCCGGAAGCCTTTCCTTCCATGGAGGTGAAGGTGTTCATGCTTTCTTGTACTGTTCTCATGGTTTAATGTTGTCCTTGCTTGGAGTTCATTCTGAAGCATGCTGTCAGGTCTGGATCTAGTTTTATCTCCAGGTTGCCCGGCACCTCTCATTAAAAAGCCCATCTTGGCCGGGCGTGGTGGCTCACACCTGTAATCCAAGCACTTTGGAGGCCAAGGCGGGTGGATCACCTGAGCTCAGGAGTTCAAGACCAGTCTGAGCAACATGGTGAAACTCCATCTTAAAAAAAAAAAAAGCCCATCTTTGCTGTTTTTGTCATATACTAAATTTCCACATGCAGTTAACCTATTTCTGGAAATTCTGCCCTCTCCCTTGCTCTGTTAACGCCTTCAGCCCTTCCCATCTAATTACAGAGGCTTTTGCACATGTTTTAAGGGCTGGTGTGTTCTCTGTCTTTGTATGTATCAGGATTTTCCTCTTTGCCACCCCATTTGCAAGTCTTTACAGGATTTTTAGAATCGATTCGTCCAGTTTGCATAAAAGAAATTCTGCGAGCCATTTTGATTGGATCGTATGGAATTCGCCATCGACTTGGGTGATTCGGAGACTTTGAGGGTTGTTATCAGTTTAGATATTTTTATCACCCCTCTAACTCATATTTTAGGTTCGGGGGTAGAGATGCAGGTTTGTGCCCTGGGTACATTGCGTGACGCTGAGGTATGCAGTGCGAAGGATTCCGTCACCCAGGTAGTGAGCATACCGCCTGATAGTTTTCCAACCCTCGCTCCATCCCATCCTCACCCACTGTGTTTCTCAGTGTATGTGGTTCCTCTCTTTATGTCCGTGTGTATTTGATGTTTAGCTTCCAGTAATAAGCGAGAACATGTAGCATTTAGTTTCCTGGTTCTGTGTTCATTCCTGTAGGATAATGGTCTCCACATGCATCTATGTGGCTGCAAAGCACATGATTCCATCCTTTTTAATGGCTGCGTAGTATTCCATGGTATAGATGTACCACATTTTCCTCTATCATTTGACCCAGCAATGCCATTACTGGGTATATTCCCAAAGGAAATAAGTCATTCTACCAAAAGACACAGGCACTGTCGGTTCATCGCAGCACGATTCAGAATAGCAAAGACACTGAGTCAAACCAGGTGTCTGTCAACTCTGGATTGGACAAAGTTTGGGTCTTTTGTTTTTGTTTTGAGACAGTCTTGCTCTGTCACCCAGGCTGGAATGTGGTGGCATTATCACAGCTCCCTGCAGCCTCAACCTCCCAGGCTCACATGATCCTCTGAACTCAGCCTCCCGGGTAGCTGGGATGACAGCCATGTGCCCCCGTGCCTGGCTCATTTTTTTGTACCTTATTTTGTTTTGTAGAAATAGGGCTTCACCATTTGGCCCAGACTGGTCTTGAACTCCTGGGTTTAAGCAGTCTGCCTGCCTTGGGCTTCCAAAGTTCTGGGATTACAGGCATGAGCCACTGTGCCTGACCAGTTTGGGTCTTTTGAGAAACACACAGGAATAAGGAAGGGGACGTGCCAGAGATATACTAGGGAGACTGTGTGTGAAGGGTCTACGAGACAGAGGCGGAGGACGGTGGGGAAGGCTTTTGGGTTACAGTGTCTGCTCCTCACACCTGTGAAAAAATAGGGCGAGGAATGGTAGAAAGAATGCCCCACCTGCTCTCTGATTATGCTGAGTCACGACTGGGAAGTCCCAAGGAAGCGCATTCTTGCAACACACATTGTCCCTCTGCAGAGCCACCGGGTGGGTGGCGTCAGGTGACTGTGGCAGCCAGCAGTCTCTGTTGTGTGTGTGTGTCTGCGTGCGCAGGTACATATTGCTCAGCCGCAGTGCCAGCTTCCTGGCCAATTAAAAAAAAAAACACTGAACTCTTCTTGTAGCTGGACTTAGAGATGCAGCAAGGATCCATGCTGCTTTCCATGATGCTTTATTTATTTATTTAGAGATGGAGTTTTGCTCTTGTCACCCAGGCTGGAGTGCAGTGGCACAATCTCGGCTCACAGCAGCCTCCGTCTCCCGGGTTCAAGCGATTCTCCTGCCTCTGCCTCCTGAGTAGCAGGGATTACAGGCGCCCAACACCACACCTGGCTAGTTTTTGTATTTTTAGTAGAGATGTGGTTTCTCCGTGTTGGTCGGGCTAGACTTGAACTCCTGACCTCACATGATCCACCTGCCTCGGCCTCCCAAAGCGCTGGGATGACAGGCATGAGCCACCGTGTCCGGCGGCTGTTTTGTTTGTATGTTTCTTTGAGCTGGAGTCTCACTACATTGCCCAGGCTTCAGTGCCGTGGTACAATCACAGCTCACTGTGTTTTCAGACCCCACGGGCACCTCCAGGGCACCACCGTGGTGCCATGACATTCTCACCAAGACCAAGGGTGTCTTTCCGTTGGCTCAGCTGTACTTCTGTGTATTTAGAGGAGCTTGTTTCCTGAAACATGTTTTGCACACTCTCTATCACCAGTCTCATTTTCTGTCGCTGCTATTTCTCTATTACAAGGAGGCCTGTCTTCTCATGTCTTTATCTGCTGTCCGTTGATTTTGTGTTGATGGAAGCTATCGACGTTTGCCTCTGAATTCCCTGTCTGGCTCCCTTCTGGAATTCTCTTCCTGGATTTGTTTAATGCCGATTTTCTTAGGTTTTTCCTGGCATACCGTTATATCATCTGCAAACATATTTTCACTCTCCCTCCGCAGTTCTTGTACCTGCTGTGGTTATTTACACATTGGATAGTTCTCCAATAACAAGGTAAATGGCGGCGTGCACTCCTGTAACCCCAGCTTTTTGGGAGGCCACGGCGGGAGGATCACTTGAGCCTCGGGGATTAAGACTGGCTTTGGCAACACAGCAAGGCCCAATTTTTTACAAAAACGAAATAGTAAAAAATTACCCGGGTGTGGTGGCTCACACCCACTTGTGACGGTGAGGAAGAGGGATCACTTGAGCCCCGGAAACGGAGTCTGCCTGCAGTGAGTCGTGAGCTTTCTTTCTAAGGTGATTCATAACTGGAAGGTGTGAGATCTGTAAGTTCTAGATTGTTGCCAAACACATCTGTGTATTTCGAGTGGATGGTACCGTATCCAGGAGGACCAAAGCTCCCTGAGGCAGAGAACACGTTTTTGTGGATGTAATTCGTTTCCCTGTATGCTGGGCACAGAGTGTGCGTGCTGCTACATGTATTTTATAAAACAAGAAGAGAAGGGTGGAAGGTGGATGGAAGGAGGAAGAAAGGAGGGAAGAAAGGAAAGAGGAGAGGAAAGGGGAAGAAGGAAGGAAAGAGTGAGAAACGAAGGAAAAAGAGAAGTAAAGATGAAGGAAAGGAGGGAAAGGGGGAAAGAAGGAAGGAGTGAAATAAAGAGGAAAGGAGGGGAAGAGGGAGGGAAGGAAGGGAAGAAGGAAGGGAAACTAGAAAGAGGGAAGGAAGGGCTGAAGGAAGACAGGAAAAATGGAAGGAGGAAGGAAGAAGGAAACAAGGAAAGAGAGAAGGAAGGGAGAACAAATGGAAGGAAGAAAAACATACAAATCCCCCTGAAAATGTGGCTCACTTAAGCAGAGATTCAAGTGAGATCTGCCTACACCTGTGATAGCAGCTAGGAAGCAACCTGTAGGAAGCATGTCTGACTTTCTGTGCTCTGGTGCTTGACTTCCAGGCCTTGTCAACCTTAAGGAGACTGCCCCTCCCGTAGCTAGCGGACCCCGCAACCCGCTTCTGAGCCTGTCTTTCATGTGCAAACCCACCAATCCAGAACCCACACCGCAGCTGTGTTCTTTACTGGGGTTGCGGCGTGCTCCACCTGACTTTCCACCTGCCCTCATCAGCGACTTCTCCACAGCAGCGTCCCCCTCTGTTGGGTCCGCCAACCGTAAATCACAGGGAAGTCTACAGTTTAAAACACAGATGAGCAGACGTGTCCTGCTCAGTGCTGCCCGGAGAGCAGAGGATTAGCGTATCCATCCCACCCACCTTTCTGAAGCTGACATTCACCGCGTATTGCAGCGCCTGCCAGGGACTCCCAGGGATTGACAGGCACTTTAGGAGGTGGTTTTTTTCCGCTTTCATTACTTGGGACTAATCCACCTTAATACATTCAGGCCTCCCCGGCCTGTGGGAATTCAAGGGGAACAGGAACAGAAATAACTGAACTATGACTCCCTTTGGCGCCGTGGGCTCTTGAGGCTGAATTCTTACAAATACGTGCTTTGCTTTTAAATCTCACTCAGACCATTTTTTCTTCTTCTTTTTCAGTGTTTGCTCCACAACCCGACCGTGTCGCTATAGTGACGGGTGGGACATGTGGCATCGGCTACTCCACAGCGAAGCATCTGGCGAGACTGGGCATGCATGTGATCATAGGTGAGGACTTCTCCAGTGAATCGTGGCTTTCTTGTTTGCTTGTTTTCTGAGACAGGGTCTTGCTCTGTCCCCCAGGCTGGACTGCCACCTCCGCCTCCTGGGTTCAAGCAATTCTCCCACTGCAGCCTCTTGAGTAGCTGGGTTTACAGACATGCACCACCCTGCCCGGCTAATTGTTGTATTTTTCGTAGAGACGGTGTTTCAGTATGCTGGCCAGGCTGGTCTTGAACTCCTGACCTAGTGATCTGCCTGCCTCGGCCTCCCAAAGTGCTGCGATGACAGGTGTGGGCCACCACCCCTGGCAGAGTTAGCTGTGCTGTATACCTCATTTAGAGGTGTATGCAAACGTTGATTTACATATAACAATTGAGATCCAGGAAGCTCATCAGGGTGATACTTAAAACCTGGAAAACACAGGAAGGTGTAGGACCCTCTTGGGAATAGATGCATGCTCTGCTTCTACATTGCTGCTGTGTTGTTTTCACATGATTTACTGGGAAAAAAATAACGACATATCTTCATCAGTTTCCTGGGGGGGCTCTAACGAAGCATCTCAAGGAGACTGGAGGTTGTTTAAAAAGCCAGAATTTATTTTTCATGATTCTGGAGGTTGAATTCACAGTGTGGGCAGGGCTGTCTCCTCCTGAGGCCTCGCTCCTGGGCGTGGAGGCGCCGTCTTCTCCCCGCGTCCTCCCGGGGCTGTCCCTCTGTGCGTGTCTGTGTCCTCATATGCCCTTCTCATAAGGGCCCCAGTTCTATTAGACAGGGCCCAGCGAGTGACCTCATTTCACCTTGGTCACTGCTTCACAAACCCTGTTTCCAAACACAGTCACATTCTGAGGTCCTGGGGTTAAGGACTTCCATTAGAGAATGTTGTTCAAATACAAGCTCGTGACAGAATCTGAACAATTTGTGGCCTTCGTGCTTTCTCTGCACCCGTGCCCTGTAGCTACTCAACGTTTGATTTCTGCTCTCCTTTCTGAACATCTCTCTAAAAGCTCTTCGTGATCTCTGACTCCTCGTTAAGTGTGACCTCTTGAGGTCTTCCTTCAATGGGGAAAATGAGGACAGTTCAGATCTTGCATTCCGCGATGCTCAACGTTCCTGGTCAATTGTGTAGCTGGGGAAGTTTAAACCGGCCAGCTTTAAAGCAGGAGTGGCAGGAAACAGACCTCTCCAACACTGAGCTGAGGAAGGAAGTGGCTTTTTATTCTGCCGGGAGCTGCGGGAGGGCTAAGCCTCATTCACCGAGCTTCCTGAGAAGGAGCTTGTTTCCCCGTTTATAGGCTTACAACGCTGAAGGGGAAACTGAGGCAAAACTATGTCATTGTCCATTGGCTGGACGTCAGACCTCACAATCTTTTGGCTTCATTGACTTGCTAGTTTATACACAGCATGACGGGGAACAGGCAGGGGAGGGGCTTACACAGACAACACAAAGGCAGTAAATTATTAGCTGGCAGAGCCGTTTCCAGGAGCAGGTGTGGGTCGTGCAGACGTGGAGGACGTGACCCAGCGCCAGGCTCTGGCTGGTAGGAACTCTTCCAAGGCTTATAGATAGCAGCGATGCTGAGAACCGAAAACCCAGTCCTCTTCCCAGTCCTTGGGCCTCTTTGTGGCCTGGTCAGTGGCGTCATCGGCAAGTCCCCTGACCACGGATTCAAGCTCTTTGGTATTTTATTTCTTTTTCACCCTCCTTCCCATCCGGAGTGGAGGGGAGGGAGGAGGTGGAGACCAGGAAGCTGGAGGATGCAAGGGGGTCTCCCCCTAAAAGATGTGTGGAGGTGACCTTCGAAGCATAAAAGCTTTAATGTGTCTTATGCCCACTCTCGACACCATCTGCATTTCATTGATTGATTGATTCATTCATTCATTCATTTTATTTCAGACAGGATCCTGCTCTGTCAGCCCAGACTGCAGGGCAGTGATACAATCATAGCTCACTGCAACCTCAGACTCCTGGGCTCAAACTATCCTCCTGCCCCAGCCTCATGAGCAGCTGCTGCTACAGGCACGCATCACCATGCCAAGCTCATTTTATTTATTTATTATTATTTCCTTGAGACAGTCTTGCTCTGTCACCCAGACTGAAGTACAGTGGTGCCATCTTGGCTTGCGGCGATCTCTCCCTCTCGGGTTCAAGCAACTCTCATGCCTCAGCCTACTGAGTAGCTGGGATTACAGGCGTGCACCACCATGCCCAGCTGATTTTTGTATTTTTAGTAGAGATTGGTTTTCGCCCTTTTGGCCAGGCTGGTGTCGCATTACTGACCTCAGGTGATCCACCCGCCCCAGCCTCCCAAAGTGCTGGGATTACAGGCATGAGCCACCATGCCCCGCCCCAGCTATTGAAAAAAATGATTTTGGTGGCTAGACATGGTGACTCACGCCTTTAATACTGCCACTTTGAGAAGTCAAGGCAGGTGAATCGCTTGACGTCAGGGGTTCAAGACCAGCCTGGCCAACATGGCGAAGCCCCAACTTTACTAAAAATACAAAAGTTGGCCAGGCTTGGTGGTGGGCGCCTGTAGTCCCAGCTCCTCGGGAGGCTGAGGTGGGAGCAGTCACTGAACTCTAGAGGCAGAGGTTGCAGTGAGCCAAGATCACGGCACTGCACTCCAGCCTGGGTGACAGAGTGAGACTCCCTCTCAAAAAAACAAACAAAAACTAAAACAAAAACTAAAACAAAAATTGTTTTGGAGATACAGGGTTTCACTATGTTGCCCAGGCTTGTCCTGAACTCCTGGGTTGAAGTGATCCTTCCACCTTGGCCTCCCAAAGTGCTGGGTTTACAAGTGTGAGCCACTACGCCTGGCCCCATTTGCTTTTAATGATAGCTTTTACGGGGTCTGCTTTTATAAACATCATACTGTAGGTCTGGTTTTATTTATTTATTTTCGGAGACAGAGTCTTGCGGTGTCGCCCAGGCTGGAGTACAGTGCTGCGATCTCCGCTCACTGCATCCTCCACCTCCCAGATTGAAGAGACTCTCCTGACTCAGCCTCCCGAGTAGCTGGGACTACAGGTGCACGCCACCATGCATGGCTAACTTTTGTATTTTTAGTAGGGACAGCGTTTCACCATGTTGTTCAGGCTGGTCTCAAACTCCTGACCTTGTTATCTGCCCACCTCGGCCTCCCAAATTGCTGGGATGACAGGCGTGAGCCACTGCGCCTGGCCAACTTCTGGTTTTAGATACGCAGGATCATATTCACTTAGAATTTTCCAAAAACAATGCCCACTGTTGATTAAGTCTTTCTTTCTCCCGTTCCTTCTTCCCTTGCTGCAATTTATGGAAAGCTGATCATGGAGCATAAACAGTGCTTGGAACTGGACATTTCAAGACAAATTTGTCTCGGTTCTTCCTTATCTTCCTGTTCAGGACACAGCCCTTTCTGGGCCTGGAGCACCTTTGCAAAAGCCAGAAAGCCTCAAGCGTAAGAGCACGAATCTGATCTGCTGACAGGTCTAAAGGAAGAGCCTTTCTGGGCCTGAGGGGGCTGGACCTGTCAATGCCTCATTGCGTAGGCTGAACGTCCCCATATTATGAACGGTTCAGCTGACATTCAGATAGAAGATATGAGGAAAAAATGAGATTCCCACGTCATCGCATGCATTAAATCTATACCAGAAAACTGTGGTCTACACATGTGTTTCAATACCCGCCGTGGTTCTGAGCCTCGCGCGTGTAAATACCCGCCGTGGTTCTGAGCCTCGCGCGTGTAAATACCCGCCGTGGTTCTGAGCCTCGTGTGTGTAAATACCCACTGTGGTTCTGAGCCTCGTCCCTTTAAATAACTGCTGTGGTTCTGAGCCTCGCGTGTGTAAATACCCGCCGTGGTTCTGAGCCTCGTGTGTGTAAATACCCACTGTGGTTCTGAGCCTCGTCCATTTAAATAACTGCTGTGGTTCTGAGCCTCGTGCGTTTAAATACCCGCCGTGGTTCTGAGCCTTGCGCGTGTAAATACCCGCCGTGGTTCTGAGCCTCGCGTGTGTAAATACCCGCCGTGGTTCTGAGCCTCACGCGTGTAAATACCCGCCGTGGTTCTGAGCCTCGTGTGTGTAAATACCCACTGTGGTTCTGAGCCTCGCGCGTGTAAATACCCGCCGTGGTTCTGAGCCTCGTGTGTGTAAATACCCACTGTGGTTCTGAGCCTCGTCCCTTTAAATAACTGCTGTGGTTCTGAGCCTCGCGTGTGTAAATACCCGCCGTGGTTCTGAGCCTCGTGTGTGTAAATACCCACTGTGGTTCTGAGCCTCGTCCCTTTAAATAACTGCTGTGGTTCTGAGCCTCGTCCCTTTAAATAACTGCTGTGGTTCTGAGCCTCGTGCGTTTAAATACCCTTCTCTCAATGCTGTCACAGGACTCGCCCCAAAAGGGAGTTTTGGGCTTGGCTCACCCTGGAACGCCGCTGACACCACATGATGCCAGCAGGTTAATGAGTGAGAGGCCAAAGGAGGAAGAATTTGCCAAGCTCTTTTCCCCTAAAGAGCTGCCCCTTTGACACACCTTACAATCTGACCTCTCTGGTCAAAGACATTTGAAAAAATGATGACAAAATAAAACCATATTGTTGTCTTCAATGCATATTCACTTTCTAAGCCATTAAAGAAACCAGGCCGAGTATGGCGGCTCAGGCCTGTCATCCCAGCACTTTGGGAGGCAGAGGTGGGTGGATTACCTGAGGTCAGGAGTTCAAGACCAGCCTGGGCAACATAGTGAAGCTCAGTCTCTACTAAAAATTCACACATATACATATATGTGTGTGTGTGTGTGTGTGTGTAAATATAAATATGTATTTTTAGTATGTATAAATACCTATATATACTAATAATACATATATATGTATATATAAAATATATACTAAAAAATACAGATATGTATATATTTATATTTATGTATATAAATATGTAAATATATACACATCAATATATACATATATAAATGTGTGTATATACATTTTATATTTTATATAGTATATATTATATGTACATACATATATATTATATATGTGATATGTATATACATCTATAATTTTATAAATATACATAATTATATATACATATACATACAGGTGTGTATGTATATGTACATAAAAGATTAGCCAAGTGTAATGGTGGGCACCTTAATCCCAGGTACTCAGGAGGCTGTGGCAGGAGAATCACTTGAACTGGGGAGGTGGAGGCTGCAGTGAGCTGAGATCACACCACTGCACTCCACCCTGGGTGATAGAGTGAGACTCTATCCAAAAAAACAAAAATAAACAACCGAATTGGTGTTCTTTCACCCCGGGTTTCCTAGTCTTTATCTGAGCTGTAACTTACCTTCTAGGCAAAACACCTGCTTGCATCCGTCTAAAGGCGTGTTCCAGAAACCGCAGCTGCAGACTGTCACGGGGCTGCGGAGAGGGGGATAAGCAATTCTTAGCGTGAAGTAGGAGCCGTGGCTTGTGGTCACATTCATGGCACAGCCTGCCAGTGTACACAGGGGTGTTCCCAGAGCAAAACCCCTCGAAAATGCTGTTTCCATCCTGACGTTTTAATGCACATTTTAACGCTTATGCTCTTCTTGGTTCTCATGTGCAAATTATGACAGTAGGGGCCCCGCGTCACTGTCATTATTTAAAAGTAGAATGTCAAGGGCCTTTGCACTTTTTGCCCATGCAGGCTTAAAAAATGGGTCTTCAATGGATAGCTTTATTCTGGCAAAATGCCTGTCAAATTAAACGCTAGTGCAAAGGGAAAACCCATCAAAGACACATTTCACAACGGTGTTATGCTTCCCTCAAAAACCTCTCTCTCTTTTTTTTTTTTTTGCAGTTAATAGTTTCTGGATGACTGTACAAGTCACCATACCTTTTCCTTTTTTTCCTTTTAGCTGGAAATAATGACAGCAAAGCTGAGGAAGTCGTAAGAAAAATAAAAGAAGAAACGCTGAGCGTCAAAGGTATCGGGAGATGCTGCAGTGGGTTTTCCTCTTGGGACACGTGGTTGGAGCGGTTCACGGCCGGGTTTCTATCGAGTGCCAAGTGGCATTCGGGAGAGGTGTCTCAGCTTTTCGCGGTCTTGTTTCGGGAATTTCTAGTCCCATAGTGCAGAAGGAGATGGCAAAGTCAGGGTGAACATAGCATCGCTCAGCTCCAACACCTGCTGGGAAAGCGTGTTGGGATGTGTTGGTGGCTTGTACTGTTACTCAAATGTATGTTGCACGTGGATCAGGAGCCATTTTACTTTCTCGACCTCAGGCCACCTGCCAGGAGATGCCTCTGCGGGTTGGGAGTTCTGGACTTAAGACACATCAAACAGGACCGACCTTAGAGCCAATTCTGGTGTGCTCTTTCTGCCTGTTCAGTCTGTGGAAGGGAAGGTGTGCGCGCGACTGTCTATTCTAGTATCCTTCCAGATGCTACATGCCGTTTCCTTTTATGGATGATTTTCCATGTGTACACATGTAGGGAGCACAAGCAGAGTTTTGTTACGTGGAAGGATAGCGCAGCGGGGGTTCTGGGCTGTACTGTGACTAAAACGGAATGGTGTACCTTGTACCTGACAGGTAATTTCTTTTCGTCTTTGCTTGCTTTTCTTTTCCCTTTTTTTTTTTTTTTTTTTTTTTTTTGAGACAGAGTTTCGCTCTTGTTACCCAGGCTGGAGTGCAAATGGCACGATAACAGCTCACTGCAACCTCTAACTCCTGGGTTCAAGCAATTCTCCTGCCTCAGCCTCCTGAGTAGCTGGGACTACAGGTGCCCACCACCATGCCTGGCTGATTTTTGTATTTTTAGTAGAGATGGGGTTTCACTATGTTGGCCTGGCTGGTCTCCAGCTCTTGACCTCAGGTGATCTGCCTGCCTCGGCCTCCCAAAGTGCTGGGATTACAGGCGTGAGCCACCATGCCTGGCCCCAAGAGGTAATTTCTTATCCCTTGCCCCTCTTCCACCCTCCCACCCTTCAGAGTCTTCAATATCGGTTATTCTACTCTCTGTCCATGTGGGAGCATTATTTAGCTGTCACTTATAAGTAAGAACACTGGTATTTGACTTTCTGTTTCTGAGTTATTTCCCTCAGGATGATGGCCTCCAGTTCCATCCATGTTGCTGGGGAAGAGTGGATTTCCTTTTTCGTGGCTGCATAGTATTCCATTGCATATAGATACTATATTTTCTTTTGTCCACTGTAGCAGATACTGTATTTTCTTTATCCTTTCATCTGTCGTTGGGCAGCTAAGCGGTTTCCGTATCTTGCTCCTGTGAATAGTTCTGCAGGGTACACAGGCGTGCAGGTGTCTCTTTGATTTCATTGCTTTGAGTCCGTGCTCAGCAGTGGGATTGCTGAATTATTTGCTGCTCTTATTTTTAGTTGTCTGGGGAACCTCCATAGTGTTTTCCATACTTGCTGTCCTAGTTGACCTTCCTACCAGTGGTGTACGAGAGCCCCCTTTTCTCTACATCCTCCCGACACTTATGATCAAGTATAAAAATCATCATTCTGTCCAAGCACCGTGGCTCACACCTGTCACCCCAGCAGTTTGGGAGGCTGAGGCGAGCAGACCACCTGAGGTCAGGAGTGGGAGACCAGCCTGACCAACATAGTGAAACCCTGTCTCTAATAAAAATACAAAAAGTAGCTGGGCGTGGTGGTAGGCGCCTGTAATCCCAGCTGCTCAGGAGGCAGGAGAATCGCTTGAACCTGGGAGGTGGAGGTTGCAGTGAGCTGAGATTGCACCATTGCACTCCAGCCTGGGTGACAGAGGGAGACTCCATCTCAAAAACAAAACGAAAACAGAAATATCATTCTGGCGATCTCCATTTTAGCCCGTGTGAGATGATGAGTCTTGGTGGTTTTGACCTGCAGTTCCCTGATGGTTCGCGATGCTGAGTACCTTTTCATATAAACACCTTTTACACACCTGTTGGGCCACCGCAGTGCTCAGTATGTTTCTGAGCAATGTCTGTGTGTGGTACCTTACGCTAAAAAAAATGCGTATCACTTCTTTGGCTGTTTGAATTTGAGATGGTGTATTGAGAATTCCCACAAAGCAGGGGGTGGGTGTATTTGGATTCTTTATTTCTTTTCTTCCACATGATAAAATTCATTTGTTATTTTATTTTTTAATTTATTTATTATTCTTTAAGTTCTGGGGTACATGTGCATAACGTGCAGCTTTGTTACACAGGTACACACGTGCCATGATGGTTTGCTGCATCCATCCCCCCCCGTCATCTACATTAGGTGTTTCTCCTAATGTTCTCCCTCCCCAATCCCCCACCCCCTGCTATCCCTCCCATCCCCCTACCCCCTGCTGTCCCTCCCCAATCCCCCCACCCCCTGCTATTCCTCCCCCATCCCCCCACCCCCTGCTATCCCTCCCATCTCCCCACCCCCTGCTGTCTCTCCCCTAGCCCCCCACCCCCTGCTATTCCTCCCCCATCCCCCCACCCCCTGCTGTCCCTCCCCAATCCCCCCACCCACTGCTATTCCTCCCCAGCCCCCGACAGGCCCCGGTGTGTGATGTTCCCCTCCCTGTGTCTGTGTGTTCTCATTGTTCAACACCCACTTATGAGTGATTCTTTGTTTCTTTGTTTTTTGAGATATAGTCTCACTCTATCGCCCAGGCTGGAATACAGTGGTGTTATCTTGGCTCACTGCAACCTCGGCCTCCCAGGCCCAAGTGACTCTCCTGCCTCAGCCTCCCCAGTAGCTGGGAACACAGGTATACAGCCACACACTCAGCTAATTTTTGTAGAGTTGGGGTTTTGCCTTGTTTCCAAGGCTGGTCTTGAACTCCTGGGCTGAAGCATCCATCCATTCACCTCGGCCTCCCAAAGTGCCGGGATCACAGGCCTGAACCACTGTACATGGCCTGTTTTGATTCTTTGTCATAAGCTGTGCGAGAGAAATGAACCCTGCCCAGAGCTGAGCCTGGTCACCGCCTTTGCACTCGTCTCCTCCTGGTCTACCTGAAGCTGCTGTGAAATACCTGTTTTCTCTGCGAAGGGCTGGGGTGTGTTGGAATATCATGCCAGCTGCAGTGCAGGATCTCTTTGACTTTCAGGAACACACACGCAGGGCTTTCCCTCAGCCAGAGCCCCCCAGTGTACAGTATCAGGAAGCTGCAGCGGGTGACATACTTCCTTCTCTGTAGGATCTCCCTCGGGGCAAAAGGATTGGTTTCTGTGACAGTAAATTCCATTCCCCGCCATCCCCACCACGCTGGCCCTACCTCATTTGCAGCACTTCCAAGGAGTGGCATTCCCCCCCCTTTTTTTTTTGAGATGGGGTCTCACTCTGTCGCCAGGTTGGAGTGCAGTGGTAGGATCTCAGCTCATTGCAACCTTAGCCTCCCGAGTAGCTGAGACGTGTGCCACCATGCCCGGCTGATTTTTATTTTTATTTTTAGTAGAGACAGGGTTTCACTGTGTTGGCCAGGATGGTCTCGATCTCCTGACCTCATGATCTGTCCGCCTTGGCTTCCCAAAGTGCTGGGATGACAGGCGTGAGCCACCGTGCACTGCCCAGAGTGGCATTTTCTAACACAGTGAAACCCGAAGTGCCTTCTCGGGGCCTGTAACATCAGCATTTCCAGAGAGCAGACGAGAGATGCAAGTGAATCAGAGCCTCTGGGGGTTGGGGTGGGGCCTTGGCTTCTGCATTCTTCTGAGGCCATTAAAGGATTCCCAGCACCTTCCAGTGGCAGATTTACTGCTGTCCTAAATGCATTCAACCATCAATATGGAGCCCAAAGAGAAGGTTCTGGAAACTGACACATGAGGCATTCTTTTCTCATGACTTTCTGCTTTTAATCTGACCGGCTTCAAAACTGTATAAAGAATACTTCACAAAACCTCACATATGTGATCTCCTAACCAAAATGACAGGGAAGAAACGGTGATTTATAATCACACATTAATTTCATTAGCTCCTGAAAATGTTTCAGATTTGGACAATACACATTTCGACCAGTAACTTTTATATCTATCTATCTATCTATCTATCTATCTATCTATATATATATATATATAATTTTTTTTTTTTTTTTGAGGCAGAGTTTCACTCTTGTTGCCCAGGCTGCAGTGCAGTGGCGTGATCTCGGCTCACTGCAACCTCCACCTGTCAGGTTCAAGTGATTCTCCTGCCTCAGCCTCCCGAGTAGCTGGGATTACAGGTGCACGCCACCACACCAGCTAATTTTGTGTATTTTTAGTGGAGACGGGGTTTCACCAGCTTAGCCAGGCTGGTATGGAACTCTGCCATCAGCTGAACTGCCCGCCTTGGCCTCCAGAATTGCCGGATGACAGGTGCGAGCCACTGAGTCTGGCCACGGTAACAAATGATCGCTGTTTTTTGGAAAAGTTTGTGTAGAATATTCCATTATCAGTTCTTTAAAATGCAGTTTTTATGGACACGTGGCATAAGGAAGACAGGGTTTGTCCATACCATTAAACAAATTTAGTTTCCCTTTTTGCATCTGGATACCGGTGGCTTTCAGTTCAATCTTGTAGAAAAGAATGCGCTCTCTGTAGCTGTTTAAAAGGTTTAAAAATCTCGCAAGAGGGTGGGAAGATGTGGCATGCAGTGGGGATGCTTAATAAGTACAGAAAATAGACAGAATGGGTAAGATCTAGTATTTGGTAGCACAAAAGGGTGACCACAGTCAGCAATACTTCGTATCTGTTCAAAACTAACTGAATGAGGTCGGGTGCGGTGGCTAACGCCTGTAATCCCAGCACTTTGGGAGGCTGAGGCAGGCAGATCACTTGAGGTCGGGAGTTTGAGACCAGCCTGGTCAACATGGTGAAATCCTGTCTCTACTAAAAACACAAAAATTAGCGGGGCGTGGTGGCACATGTCTGTAATCCCAGTTACTCAGGAGTCTGAGGTAGGAGAATCACTTGAACCCAGGAGGCAGAAGTTGCTGTGAGCTGAGATGGTGCCACCACACTGCAGCCT